GCCTCAGTCTAGATACAGCAGTCATTATAGCTGCTGTATCTAGACTGAAAAATGCCTCAGTCTAGATACAGCAGCTATAATGACCGTACGTTGTATTCGGGGGAAGAAGGTAGCTCAGTCGGTACACCCACCCATGAGCAGTTGAAATGCAGAACTGAGTTCAAACCCAGATGGGGAGAGAGGGAGAGATATGGCCAAAAAAAAGGAAGCCTGAGAGGACAGAGCGACTAGGAGGCCCGTTGATTCCTAGTCGGGAAAGCTTCCTTGTTAGGAAGCCCGTTGATGCCCTAAAGTACATATATGTATGTTGAGGGAGGAACCAATGGGCCTAGCTCAGAGGGGTACACCCACCCACCCATGAACAGTTGAAATACAGACCTGAGTTCAAACCCAGATGGGGGAGAGAGGGAGAGGTATGGCGAAAAAAAAGGAAAGGGAGAGAGGGAGAGGTATGACAAAAAAAAAGGAAGCCTGAGGACAGAGCGACTAGGAGGTCCGTTGATTCCTAGTCTGGAAAGCTTCCTTTTTAGGAAGCCCGTTGATGCCCTAATAAAGGACATATATGTATGTTGAGGGAGGAACCAACGGGCCTAGCTCAGTCGGTACACCCACCCACCCATGAACAGTTGAAATACAGACCTGAGTTCGAACCCAGGGTGAATTAGATGAATGAAATCGAGTAAAATTCTGAATATGTTCAGAAAGGAAGACCAGATGCAGAAGACAGATGTTGCAGTGGTGGCTACTTTGAGGGACAAGAGGACAGAAGACAGAAGATGATGCCACGTGGATATCTCACAGAACAGAACAAAAAAGAGTTCTGATTCACGACGACTTGTAAATCCACTGGAATCGTACTCAGGTCTGTATTTCAACTGATTGAACTGAACCTACTAGTAATTCTGAATCTGTTCAGTGAGGAAGACCGGATGCCAGTTGGACTGGCTACTTTTTCAAGGACAAGAGGACAGAAGATGATGCCACGTGGATTTCTCACAGAATAGTAATAAACAGAGGCCACATACTGTACGCTTCGACAGAAAATTCCATGCTCAACCGCACGCACTGAGCTCAGAAGAAACGCGCTCATTGCCCTACGCACGTTCCAGCCAGGAAGCGCACCTGGCACTAATTAGCGGCCTTCTCCTCGGATCCGCCTTACGGCACCCACGTACTTGTCCTGCCACTCAGCAACGAGAGCCGACGGCCTTGCCCTCAAATTAATACAGAACAAAAACAGAGTCGATTCACGACTTTTGAATCCACTGGATTCGAACTCAGATCTGTATTTTACTGTACGTGAACATAATTCTGAGTATGTTCAGTCAGGAAGGGAAGACCGGATGCCACGTGGATTCGCTACTACTACTTCCAACCACAAGAAAGAGGACCGGATGATGCCACGTGGGTTGCTCACGCACAGCAAATTGAAATTAAAAAAAAAGGAGTTGATTTACGATTTTTACGGCGTGTGCAGAAACTGATCTGTAATTCTTTGACCTGCCGGTGGCATAGGAACCGAGACTGACGCTCCCCAGAATGGAAAGGAGCCAGAACCGTAAGGTTCTGTTTTCAAAAAAAAATAAATAAAATGAAGCATGACCCATGTGCAAGGATGACATGCATGAATTGAAAAATGGTCCAAATTGAAATTAAAAAAAAAAAGAAAAAAAAT